AATAGAATAGAATAGAATAGAATAGAATAGAATAGAATAGAATAGAATAGAATAGAATAAGGAGTAGAGTAGAGTAGAGTAGAGTAGAGTAGAGTAGAGAAAAAAGAAAAGAAAAGAAAAGATGGAATGGATAGGAATAGAATATATGGAATGGAATGGAATAGAATAACAATAGAGTAGAGTAGAATAGAACAGAACAGAATAGAACAGAACAGAATTGGAATATTGGAATGAAGAATAGAGTAGAATGCAGTATATATAGTACAGTACAATACAATAAGGAATAGAATAGAGTGGAGTGGAATGTAGTATAGAGTAGAGTAGAGTAGAGTAGAATAGAATAGAACAGAATAGAACAGAATAGAATAGAATAGAATTCTTTATTGACCAAATGTATTTGGGTACACAAGGAATTTGTCTCTGGCATATATCCTATGTTTACTATTTTTAAAAAATATATACTTGAATATTCATAAATGTGATTCTGGCTGTCTCTTATTTTATTTTGTAGTGAGTACTGCCCCGCAACAAAAGCCTGTAAGTATTGTTACATTGTTGTTATTTAGGTATCTTCATTCTTTTGTTTGGATGGTTGAAAGATAACACCTTTGAAATTTCATTTATGGATCTTACCTGACAATGAGTCTTTTGCATAATATTCATCATGCATTATATTTGCCACTGGATTTTAAAACATGTTAATACCACTTAGATTAAATGAAACTACTAAGTACAGGTAGTCCTCAACATACGACCTCAGCTGAGCCCAGAATATCTGTTGCTAAGTGAGAGAACTGAGTTTTGCCTCATTTTATGACATTTCTTTCCACATTTGCTAATTGAATCACTGCGGTTGTTAAGTTAGGAGCACCATTGCTAAATGAATCTGGCTTCCCCATTGACTTTGCTTGTCAGAAGGTCGCAAAAGGGAATCACACAACCCCGGGACACTGCAATCGCCACAAATGTGAGTCAGTTGCCAAGCATCTGAATTTTGATCATGTGACTACGGGGATGCTGCAATGGTCATAAGTGTGAAAAATAATCATAAGTCACTTTTCTCAGTGCCATTGTAACTTTGAATGGTCACTAAATGAACTTGTAAATTGAAGACTACCTATATATGTTTCCTGTGCCAAGATAGGTGGGGACAGGACCAGAGACAATTTTGGAGAAAGTGATTTATTCCATCTTTCATATGAGGCAAACTGTCAGAGTGTGCACAGTGTGACCATGTGAGAAAATCCAGGAGCAAATACAGCGGTTTATATTTAAGCAGAGGTTTTATCTAGAAAGAATATATACATACAAGTACTTTAGTCAGACAAACAGCAATCAGCAATTACAGCACAGAAGCGCACATGGACAGAGAGATATGCCCCAATAGGGCCTCTTCTTATTTCAGGCTCTTAAAGTGATATCAGCCCCAAAACCTTGCTGACTCATTTCCCAGCATTACATCATCATAGCAACTGGTCGACTCTTAAATCAATACCCTTGGAAGTGCATGTGTAATGTATACCTTGTTTTGCCGGAAATACGACCTACTCTGAAAGTAAGTCCTAGCTTGATTTTTACACGGGCACCCAATATAAGCCTTACCTCCCAAAATAAGCCCTAATTAAGATCTCGCCCACTTCAGAGTGGACGGGTAAAAATTAAGCTAGGGTGGTAATGGGGGGAGATGGAGCTGCTCTGTTACTTATCTTTGGACAGTTGTAGCCAGGCCTCGCACACCCCGACACCTGCCTTGCCAGCCCATTTCTTCTTCAGCCAGCAAGGCTTTCCTGAAGGCCTCTGTAGCTGATAACTAAGCTCAGGATTGATCCAGAGCTCAGTTATCGGCTGCAGAGGCCTTCAGGAAAGCCTTGTCAGCCACAGAAGAAGAACTTTCTGAAGGCCTCTGACAGCAGACATGAAGCCAGGGTTGACGCGCGCGTGTGAGGTTAGTCAGTGGATGACTTCCCCCCAAAATAAGACCTGGTGCCTTTTTTTGGTGGCTATATATATATATATATATGGCAGGATCTTATTTTCAGGGAAATACGGTAGTATATAATTATATAGTATATAATACAGGTAATCTTCACCACAATTCATTTAGTGACCAATCGAAGTGAACTGAACAAAGGCACTTACGACTGTTTCTCACACTTCCGGCCTCCCCCAAGGGTCACATGATCAAAATTCAGCTGTTTTGTCATCTGATTCATAGTTACGATGGTCCAAGTGTCTTGGGGTCACGTGATCCCCTTTGGTGACCCTCTGACAAGCAAAATCAACGGAGAAGCCAGATTCACTTAACAACGGTGTTCCTAACTTAACAACCGCATTCATTCACTTAACAAACTGCGGCAAGGAAGGTTATAAAATTCACTTAACAAATGTCTCAGTAACATAAATTTTGGGCTCAGTTGTGGTCATAACTCGAAGGACTACCTGTAACTAACTTCTTCTGGTATTACGACATAGACTACATTCCTGCCTGCAGTTGAGCATCAAAATGTTGTTCACCCAAAAATAGCTATGCAACATATTTTTCTTCAAAGATCATATTTTCATAATTCATGACAAATTGCTTGTGAAGGAGGGGAAAATTGCAACCACCGTTGGTGAAAAAAAAGAACGGATCTCGCTAAGTTAGCATGCTTTTTTTTTAATAAGACTGTGTCGGGAATTTTATAGCAGTGGCCTTTCTTGGAGTTATTTCTGCATAGAAATAAACAGTGCTCTGTGTCATTCCGCCCCCCCTGCCCCCCCCCCCCAAATCATCAACGTTGACTTCAATGAGAAGTTTAGCACTTTTTCTTTAGTTTTATACATTTGCTAATGTATACCCATGATCACAAAAGAATGAAACCTGGTAGCATTTTAGACAGGGTCAATTAAATACCAAAATAAAGTTAGTAGCTGCATTTATAGTGGGAAATTTGAAATGATTTCCAGTATTTGAAGGGCTCCCACAAAGAAGGGGGGGTGGGTGTCAAAATATTTTCCAAAGCCCCAGAAGGCAGGACAAGAAACAATGGATGGAAACTAATCAAGGAGAGAAGCAACCTGGAATTAAGGAGAAACTTCCTCACAGTGAGGGCAATCAACCAGTCATTTATCTGAAATGGTATAGGTTCTTCTGCTTGAGCAGGAGGCTGGACTAGAAGACCTCCAAGGTCCCTTCCAGCTTCTATTCTGTTCTTCGTTGCCATTCTGATACCAAGATATCCATGATTCATTTCTTAACATAATGTATTCTCAACACGAAAAAAAACCAGTTTGAAATGCCATCCTACGTCCTGCTTTTGATGGCTGGAAAATGTACTTTGGTACATTCCAGCTGGCTCATTCCCCCCCAAAAAATTAACCTTTGATTGGGAAATGGGTACATTTTAAAGGAAAGATTCCATATTATGTTTTAATAGAATGTAGCTACCCAAAAGTCTCAAAAAACACAAACATTCTAGGATTGGGGGGGGGGGGAAATACCTTCCGCAGATTTATTTTATTTTAATTTGGTTTATATTTTTATTTTATTTTTATACCTTCATGTCATTTGATTAATTTTATTTGTATCCTGCCTTTATTGTTTTTACAAATAACCCAGCAAACACACACAATGCAGGTAGCTCTTGATTTACAATTGTTCATTTAGTGACCGTTCAAAGTTATAATAGCCCTGAAAAAAGGGACTTACGACTGTTTTCACACTTATGACCGTTGCAGCAACCCCGTGGTTACATGACCAAAATTCAGGCACTTGGCAACTGACTCATATTTATGACGGTTGCAGTGTCCCCAGGGGTCCCTTTTGCGACCTTCTGGCAAGCAAAGTCAACGGAGAAGCCAGATTCACTTAATAACCAGGTTACTCATTTCATAACTGTGGTGATTCACTTAACAACTGTGACAAGAAAGGTTTTAAAACAGGACAAAATTCACTTAACCAACCTTTCACTTAGCACTAAAGACATTGGGCTCAAATTGTGGTTGTAAGGCGAGGACCACCTGTATACCTTCCTCCTCCTTTGTTCCCCACAACAACCCAAATCTTTCTTTCATGGCTAAGGCGGGACGAGAACTCCTGATTTCTAGCCCAACACCTTAACTGCTACATCAAACTGGAATTCCCATGGACAGGTTACTTTTCAGTTAAATGCGGTTTTTATCGGGCCAGGTTTTTTTGCAGATGATTTAGAAAAATAGTTTTTAAAATGTGGATTTAAGATGGTTGATAGTGGATAGATGACCGTGTTAGCACAGGGGTGTCAAATTCAAGGTCCCTCAGGCCAGATGCGTCCCGCAGGATGCTTAGATCTGGCCCGTGGGGGCCGTCCCAGAAAAAGTGAAGGACCAGCCTGCAGTACCTCTGCCAGAGAAAATGCTCTGTTTTCACTGGTGGAGGGCTCGCAAAACAAACTAAAAGCAAAACAAAAGGAGAAATGTTTCCCCTTTTGCATTTGAGCCTGCAAGAGGGGACAGGAAAGGAGAAAGGGGAAGAGAAAGAAAAAAATGGGAAGATGGGAAGAGAGCAAGGAAGGAAACAGAAGGAAAGAGGAAGAAGAAAGAATGAAGAGGAAGGAAGGAAGGAAGGAACCGGCAAATGGCAAGGCTCTTCTGGAGGAGAAGGGTTTGATGTTCTCCCTGGTCTCGCTTTCCTCTCTTGGAAACAATGGATTCCCCCCCCCGCCCCCCCCAGTCCTGCCACAGGTGGCCTCAACGTGAGTGGCGTCAAGTTGGCCATGTCCCCTTCTAGCCACGACCCCCTTCGCCCCTCCCCAGGTCAAACACAACTCTGATGCGGCCCTCAATGAAGTTTGACACCCCTGGTGTAGCATATTAAGGTGGTCTTTTAAAAAAATTCCACCAAGATAAGAGCATTTGTATCTAAAAATTAGATTTCTAGGATTCAAACAATTTCCTACAGTAAGCGGGTTTTCCCATCGCTTAAACATATGTTATAATGGCAGATCAGGACACTGCATAAGCTAATTGTGTCACACGATTCAAAAACGAATCTGTGGTTTTTCTTTTTTTCATCAGATTGGAAAGATATCTAAAAATAAAAAGAAGAAACTAAAAAAAAAGCAAAAGAGGCAGGCTGAGCTCCTAGAAAAGCGCTTGCAGGAAATTGAAGAACTGGAAAGGGAAGCTGAAAGGAAAAAAACGGAAGAAAACGTCACCTCGACTGTACCATCCAACGAACAAGAAGATGGGTACCATCCGGAAGTTAAACTAAAAAGTGTAGAATTAGAAGAAGTGGCAGACGAAGAACCTGGGAATGAAGATGGTAAGTTAGTTTGTGTCATTTATTCAATTTATTTGGCTGCCCAACTCCTAGACATAAGCCTCAGAGACTGTATGTATGTCCACAGGTAGTTCTCACCTTACAGCCGTTTATTTAGTGACCGTTTGAAGTTAGCACAGAAAAAGTGATTTATGGCCATTGTTCACAGCAACGAGCATATCCGCGGTCACGGGATCCAAATTCAGACGCTTGGCATCTGGTTCACATTTATGACGGTCACAATTTTCAATGGTAGAACTACTACTTAGGAAAAGATTGGAGAAGATTCATTTCTCTCTGTCTCAAACAAATCAAAATTGCACTTCAAAAAAAAAAAAAAGAGCACCTCCCAATGAACGAACAAACTACATATGCAGATAGTCCTCGACTTATAACAGTTCATTTAGTGACCATTCAAAGTTAGAATGGCACTGAAAAAAGTGACTTATGCTTTTCACACTTACGACCATTGCAACACCCTTGTGGTCATGTTATTTACATTCGGATGCTTGGCAACCAACTCACATTTATGATGGTTGCCATGTCCTGGGGGTCATGCGATCCCCTTTCTCAACCGTCTGCTGAGCAAAGTCAGCAGGAAAGCCGGTTCACTTAACAACCGGGGTAAGAAAAGTCATCAAGTGGGGCAAAACACACCGAACAGCTGTTCTCGATCAGCAATCGAAATTCAGGGCTGAATCATGGTTGCAAGTCGAGAACGACCTGTATGCTTAACCCCACCTTGAAAGTCAGCATTTTAAAAGATATTTTACCTCATGTCTTTTGTATGTCTCTCAGGAGAAACAGAAGACCAAGATGAGAAAGAAGACACGGAAAAAGAAAACACCGAGAAAGATGACGACCTGGAGCAAGAATTAGCCAATTCAGAATCCGCTGATCCCGCTTGGATAGAATCTCCCAAAACCAACGGCCACATTATCGACGGTCTTTTCTCCCTGGAAGAACAGATCGAGGAGGAAGAGGAAGAGGAGGAGGAATGCCCCAACGCCGAGCAATATAACCTCGACGAGCCAAACACCAAAAGCGAGTACAGTTACGGTAGCTCTTACGAACAATTTAACGGCGAATTGCTGAACGGACGTCATAACATTCCAGAATCACAATATGATGAATTTTCAGCTTCAGTGTTTCCCGGAGCTTTAGATTCTGTCGCTTGTGGTTCAGTGGTTTCTGAAGAATCGACGGTAACCGAAAGAGAAGAAAGCACTCCATCCCACGACAGGAGCAGGACGGTTTCGGCTTCCAGTACGGGAGACTTGCCAAAAAGTAAGCATTTTTGTTACCGTAACATTGTGCGATCGAGGTCTGTTTTAGAAACTCTTAAGTGAAATGCTTCTTCTACACAGAGGGGTCCTTGGTACTCTCTGAGTTTGATTGTTTTCTTGGAGATGTTTCATTACCCAAACTAGGTAACATCATCAGTTCTAGAAGGAAGAGGGGTTTGCAGAGAGGAGGAGGAGGACCGTAGGGTTCTTGGTTGGCAGCCTTAGCAGAAACAAGAAACTCCATGTCACGAAAAACCTCTCTTGTAAATTAATGACATTCACCCACCGAAAAGTCCAGGCAAGAGTCCTTCAAAGAGTTAACGGCAGTAACAGACCTTATCAGTTCCTTGCGATAATTGCTGTGAGCTCCCAACCAAAAGGCTGCAAATTAAGTTCTGGCAAGCAGTCTCTGTGGCACAAAACACGACGACCCAAATCTTCAGAAAGACACTCTTGTCTCCTATGATAACCTCTTCCCTTTCCTTCTATTTATTCTCCAGCCGGGGGGATGGGGATTCAGTGTCCATGTGTGCCTTCCTTCCCGAGGCGACTCCTTGTCCTCTGTTGTTCTCCTCTCCTAACAGCTCTGCGCATATGCGCGTCCGGAGCAGGCCCCAGCTGTTCTTTTTCCTCACTCATGTCAGCCTCCAAAGGCAGCTGCCTCTCCGTTGGCTGGGAAATGTTGGACAGCCCTGGCTCTATCTCTGCGTCCGATATAGAGCATCCATCATAGCCTTCCCCAGACTTCAGAACTGTCCCAAGTTCCTGCCCAACCTCCACATCATCTGAGTCTGCCACCAGCTGTGCTGGCAGCTGGCCAGCCACAACAGGTTGTTTTCTTGCAGACCTTTCATTATCCAACAGTTCTAGGAGGAAGAGGGGTTTGCGAGGAGGAGGACTGTGGGGTCCTTGGTGCTCTCTGAGCTTGGTTATTTTCTTGCAGATGTTTCATTACCCAACTAGGTAACATCATCAGTGCCAGTCTGGCCTAGAAGACCCCCAAGGTCCCTTCCAAATCTGTTAACTGTTATTTCATTGGTTCCCTAAGACCTCTTGTGTTGTGGTTAGCTGGCCGCAGGTGCAGACGGCTGAGGAGAGCGAGGATTCAGATGAAGGGCCAGGACCATTAGGGAGTGGACTGCTGCCTTCAGAGATTGTGGGTGCTGGCAGCAGCGATGAGGAGGTTCCCGAGTAGCCTGTGCCAAGTGCGTGTGCATGCAGCATTGCTCGCAGGAAAGAGCAGCTACAACAGCACGGGCAACTCGGGAGTAAGGCTGCAAGGTAATGGCCCCTTCTTCAAGAAGATAAAAGCCAGCTGTGCAGCGGACGTTCTTTGCAGGAAGCAAAGACATTTTGAAACTCAGCCTTGTGGACATTACAGTTAGTATTTGAAGACTCTTGTGTTGTAAACTGTTCTTATCTGTTGCTTTTTGGCAGCCTTGCAAAAACTTGGCAAGGCTCTTTCTTGTCGGAGTTAGTTAGTTGGAAGCAGCCTTTTATCTGTGAAGAAACAGAATTCATAGATGAAACTTTAAAAGGTTGTGCCGCTGCCTTTGTCTTATGTTTGCTCTCTTGGAACCAGGTTTGGGTCAGAACACCCTGATGATGTTACCTAGTTGGGTCATGAAATGTCTGCAAGAAAAACAACCAAGCTCAGAGGCTACCAAAGTCCCCTCAGTCCAACCCTGAGCTAACAAATATTCTTCTCTTTCTACACTTTCTGTTTGGGATCTTGAATCTGTCTAATGCTGAGACGGTAACCATGTTTTCAGAATAAACCTTTATTTAAGATTTGTCTGCAGCCGTGCATAGGCATGGACACATATCTACGCTGCGCGGGGGTGGATGAGTAACGTACAGGTTGCAGATGGTTGCAGACCGACCAACTGCTCGCCTCCCAAATCAACAACTACACGTTATGTAGAAATGTGCGTCCTTGCATGCAGATTGATTGATCCGACTCCCTTCTTGTTTGTGCCAGAAAGTTAACATTTGCAGAAGTATAAATGCAACAACTGTGCAACTGTCTCTGAATTATAAGATGTGTACCTTCCGCAATGTGCAGGGCTTAAGTAGGGCTAACTGTGAAAAAAAAAGAAATATTAATAAAAAATATGTCAATATTATGACATAGAAATATGTCAATATTAATAAAATGTGTGCACTGCAGAACTCTTTGTTTGCTACTATTTGATGGGGCACACTCTTTTTGTATCAAAACATTGCTTTTTGGGTGGAAGTGAAAACTGTGTAATGAATATAGAGTACCTCAAATGCTTTTCTGTGTGCAATTAGTCCTCACAATCATTTTTTTTAGTGACCGTTTGAAAGGTACCGAATGGCACAGAAAAAAAATGACTCATGACCGTTTTCACAAAGGTGCTTTTTTCAGGAGGCAATTGGACTTCCTGTTTTTTTCTTTTGAAGACGTTTTGCTTCTCATCCAAGAAGCTTCTTCAGCTCTGACTGGATGGTGGGGGAATGGAAGGATTTCTGTTCCTTGCAGACAGCTGGTCATTTGCATCCTTTTTAGAGAGTCGTTGAGGCCACTTGGAGGTTTATCTGTGTCCTCAGGGTCGCCTGAGTAGTGCAAATGGTTTCTGTAGCCTGCAATTTTTCCTCTGGAAATCCATTCCTACTCCCACACCATCCCAAGGGTGTCCATCCCAAATTGTGTAACTAAAAGTCTTGTAGAGATTTTCTGTCATCCAAGTCATAGTTATCCCAAATATGCTTTTTTTTCAGGAGGCACCTGGACTTGTTTTTTCTTTTGAAGACATTTCGCTTCTCATCCAAGAAGCTTCTTCAGCTCTGACTGGATTGTGGAAGAATGGAAGGCTGTATATTCCTTGCAGTCAGCTGGAAAAATTGCAGACTACAGGAAACATTCGCGCTATTCAAGTGACCCTGAGGACACAGACAAAACCTCCAGGTGGCCTCAACGACCCTCAAAAAAGGAGGCAAATGACCAGCTGTCTGCAAGGAATAGAAATCCTTCCTTTCCCCACCCTCCAGTCAGAGCTGAAGAAGCTTCTTGGAGGAGAAGTGAAATGCCTTCCTTCAGAAGAGAAAAACAAGAAAGTCCAGTTGTCTCCTGAAAAAAAAGGCACCTTTGGGAAAACCTTGACCTGGAGGACTGAGAATCTCTACAGACTGACCGTTTTCACACTATTGACCATTGCAGCATTTCCAGGGTGACGTCTCCAAAACTCAGGTGCTGACTCATATTTAATGCCTTCTATTATTTAAGGTGTGAACTTCAGATCAGTAAACGGGCAAGCCAGGTTCACTTAACAATCATGTAACTAAATGAATAACTGTAGAGATTCACTTAATAACCACGTTACTGGTTTAACGACTGCAGTGATTCGCTTAACAACAAGGTTACAAAATGGGGCAAAACCCACTTAACGACTGTTCTCTCTTGGCGGCAGAAATTCCGGCCTCTGTTGTGGGGTCCTACGCTGTATCCACAAGACAACTGATCTTGAAACAAGGATACTCGGAACCGATTTGGACTGTTTGTTAAAATACATCTTGTCCAGGTTTTAGAATAGAATAGAGCTGGAAGGGACCTTTGGAGGTCTTCTAGTTCAACCCCCTGCTCAAGCAGGAGAACCTATATTATTTAAGTGGCTGTCTAGGCTCTTCTTAAAAGCCTCCAGTAATGGAGCACCCATGATTTCTGGAGGCAAGCTGTTCCATTGGTTAAGAGTGGCGTAGTGGCCTAGCGTTGGAGTTCTCGCCTCACAATCAGGAGGCTGTGAGTTCGATCCTAGGTAGAGGCAGATATTTCTCTCTCTGGGCACAATGAGAATGTATCTGCTGAACTAAACTCCGCATTGGTGACAGGAAGGGCATCTGGCCAGTAAACATTCTGCTAGCTCCATTCAGTTGCCAAGACTCCACCCTGCAAGGGATCATGGGGTCATTAAAAGGAAATGATGATGATGAAGCTGTTCCACTGGTTAATTGTCCTCACTATTAGGAAGTTTCTCCTTAATCCCAGATTGCTTCTCTTCTTGATGAGCTTCCAGTCATTGTTTCTTGCCCTGCCCTCAGGTGCTTTGGGAAATAAATTCACCCCCTCAAATACTGGAATACTGCAAACTTGTCCCCCTAATTCTTCTTTTCTTTAGACTAGCCAGACCCCAATCCTGCAGCTGTTCTTCATATGTTTTAGTCTCCAGGCCTAATTCGTTTTGTTAATTTGGTTGATTTTGACTTGTTGATGTTGGGTGAGCACGTCATAAATGTTACTAGTCATATTCTTCCCATGCTGTTATTACTGTCCTCCAGTTGCAGCCATGTGATAGATAGAACGGACTGTGAGCAACTTAAGTGTCATTTATTTCTCTAAGCGAGAATTTGTGGTACTCCATCTTCCCTCTCATACACCTGAGGGAAACACGTGGTTGTGTGTTCACCACTAACCCTCAACTTGCGACCACGATGGAGCTCAACATTTATGCTGTTAAGTGAGAAAGTTGTTAAGTGACCTTTGCCTTACTTTACGACTTTCCTTGCTGCTTTTGTTAAGTGCAGTTGTTAAATTAGTCACACAGTCGTTAAGTGAGTCTGGTTTCTTCGCTTATCAGAAGGTTGCAAAAGTGGATCACATGACCCCGGGAGACACTGCAGCTGTCATAAATGTGAGTCAGTTGTCAAGCATCCAAAGGTAAATCACGTTGCCATGGGGATGCTGCAACAGTCATAAGTGTGAAAAACGGCCATTAGTCACTTTTGTTCAGTGCCGTTGTAACCTTGAATGGTCATTAAATCAACTTGTTGTAAGTCGAGGAGTACCTGTACATTTTTACAATGTCTGTGTACTTTTCTCAGAGTTTTTTTATTTCGCTTCCAGTGCATTGAGAAAGATCCACCTTATTATAAATATCAAGTCAAGGGAATATTGTTTGTTTTCGGAGTTTGAGTACAGGTAGTCCTTGACTTATGACCTGTTTGTTTAGTGACCGTTTGAAGTTACGAAGCCACTGGGGG